TTTCTCGTCGTCGTAATTCTGATCTTCAACTGCCTCAAAGAGGTTTTAAATAGCAGATTTTTCTTGGTCTTGCAAAACCTTGATGATCCCTTCCTTCCCGACAGTCCAGATTTAAACAACAGTGTACCGGTCGGAATCCAAGGACAACAACGTCTTTCTCCATTAGATTTCAGCAAAAGCCATTATCTTCTAGCTCACAATTAGCTGTTAAGTTTCAGCCGCCAGCGATGCCAGAGAAATGATACGTCTTTGCAATAACCTGACAACATGAATGATTTGCGAAGAAACATCGCTGACAGCTGCAAGCGATATCCATCATTTCAGATCAGGAAGTCATCGAAGTAGGTTGCTTCCTTCATTGCAGAGACGATCGAAGTGGTAAGCCATTGTTGGCGATGTTTCAGCAACCATCGCCTGACGTGGCTCATCGAAACCCAGCACGTTGCCGACAATTGAGGATATACCGCTTTCAAAATAGTTTTCTTCTTCGAATCTCCTACTTTTCCTGTTTATTATCTATGATATCGTTAGGTCGAGTGCTTCGCATGACTCCTGCAAAACATTGTAAATCTGATGCAACCTTGATAAAGCTTCGTTCGGTAGCAAAATCTTGAATATTCGAAACAACGCCGGATATAGGCCTGGTCATATTGGCCGCTCCATCTGCTGGGCATGCGATCAGTTTCTGAGGCCAGTCAGAGCAAAATTTACTTGACAGCTCCTTGAACATTTTGTACATGGCTTCTCCTGTGTGGCATCCTTCAAATGGGACTACGATAACGTAAGAAATCTAATTTTGTGAATGCTGGAAAAACGGGTCCTCTCATCAATGGATGAAGATGATCCATCAAAGACAACAGAAAACACTTCCAAATTCAATTTTATCGATGATATTGTAGAATGAATTAGCGCATTCAACTCGTGCATGCTTGGGGGCTCCAAATCCATTGTAGTGCCCCAATTTGAGGACAGATAAACTTATTTTGCAGATTGTATCGCTTCAACTGCCATACGGAACGACATTGATTGGCTTACTAATTTGACAGCTAATTCAAAAATGTTTTACTTAAACAATTACCTGCTGTCTTTGTTTGATAAGAAATATTAAGACAATCAGCTGCAAGAGGTTTGTTGCCGCTTTTTTCACCTTGTAACAGGAGCTCTCCGATGATAGCTTCGACGATGCTTTACGAAGTATAAAATGTAATGCTCTCAAATGTGGCTCCACATAGACAACGACTTTGTTGTCATGCATCATGCTGTCCATCCGTTCCGGTGGGAGCGTGCAATAGTCCCGTTTTTGGTGAGATGGTTGGTTTTGTGGTGCTGATGATTATTTTCGGGTCTGAATGGTGGCTTCTCGAAAGTCCAGGATGCACTTGCATTCTTCGAATTGATTTTTCGACCGACGACAACATAGAAATGACACCTGACAGCTACAACGTCTCCTGATGTCGGGTCTAGGGCAGCAATTCAACGTTCGTATTCTGTCAGATGTTTTTTTAAAACGGCGTCATTTGCGATCCGAATATCCTGTGTATGACCGTTTGGCTTGCGAATGCTCGTCGACAGCATTTGCAGTAGCAATGGCACTACTATTAGCCGATATCATGAGCATGAAATCGTTCAACAGACTTTAAAATACAATTTTATAGGCGACAAACCTTCCGCGGACTGTGAACTATAAAAAAAATGTTTGATAAGTTTTAAAATGAGGTATCATGCAAGAATGAAGTACGGCTTTTAAGGCTTATAGTTTGAGAAGGCCTTATATGCAGAGGCCTGGTCATAGTGCTCGCCATAACGTTTTCAATCGGCAGTGCTCAAGAGCAAAGTTGATATGAGACTGCCTAGTATTCAGGGGCTTATCCAACGGTAAAGTTGATTTCATTGAGTTTAAGTATGCTTATTAATCAGTTTCCAAGCTAATGGCTTATTTATATTCATGATGGGAACCCCGACAGTATAACAGTAAATTTCGCTCGCGAAACCATTAGAAATCACAAATTAGTTGATGCGAACCAGCCAAGCAAGATTGCGGATTCGAGGCCGCTTCGTTGGCCAGCTTATCCATTTTTGCGAATTTCAAATGGGTGCATGTAAGCAAGCGGATGAGAATTTCACTAGATTGACAGCACTTCTTGATTACACTGTTGATAATGTATCATTCATTGTGTTCTATCTCCATTGTTGTATCTAACCTGAATATTTGTCTATAATTAATTTTGCTTTTCCCTTATGTTAAGTTGATGAAGCTGAAACTGCCGTTGTTTACACTCGACAAAAAAGCAAACATTAGCTATAAATCGAAATTTTGCATGTTGACAGACCAAGGAAACGATTGGGGTTGAGAGCGCGCCATTAACGTTAAGCAAAATCCAAAAGCACTTGCATTTATCAATTTCAGCAACTCTTCTGTATCCACTCCAATGACTTATAATAGAACGTTTTACACTCATCGATGCCAGGTTCGATTTTGAGCTACAGCTGGCTGAGGCGCTAGCTTCTTCTACCTCGAAGTCTTACTTGTGAAGATAAACCTTTTGAGTCTGATGATTTTTTCCTCCATAACATTTGTACGCATCAATGATATCAGGACCTAGTAAGAATCTATTTCACGTGTCAATTTACACAATTATTGCGCTCATGCTCCTCGATTTACACAATTGTTGCGCTCATTCTCCTCGATCTCGCTGTCCCTGTTCTCTTTTCCTAGCGTATAGATTTGAATGCCTTGATTTCCAAAACCGTTATCCATATTACAAACAGGCTCTTCAGATATAAAAAATCCATTTAATTTTTGCTTTTGAAATGTGGAGCTGACTGTCAAATTTTGCCAAATTGCTCTGCTACCATAATCTTTTTGAGCTTTCGTCTCCCTTCACTCCAGAATTCTACCTTTTTTTGATGGGCAACAGTCACAGTAACAACACCGACGGTGTCGCCAACGTGCGGCCTCATGGCAAGCGCAACCACGCGTCACACCGGCGTGCTCAGCAGCAGAGTACTGCGCGAGACTCAGTCCAGTCGACTGCGGCTTCAGCGTCTGCCCCCTTGCCTCCTGCGGCACCCGCTTCCGTACGACGTAAGCCACAAACCCGCGAGCGCAAGCCGTTTAAAGAGCTGGTAAATTGCTCTTTTTTGATTTCTTAATGACACAAAACAAGTAATGCTTTGTATCTCGTGATGCATTACAGATTACCGGCGAGCTGCGCGATATTAACGATTTTTACGATATTGAGAAGAAGGAGCTGGGCCACGGTCATTACGGTACCGTACGTGTTGGCATAAGTAAAGCCACAGGCGAAAAAGTGGCCATCAAGACTATCCCTAAGGCTAAAGTGAGTCGTCCAGAGACAATGCGTCGTGAAATTAGCATTCTTAAGACGCTGGACCATCCCAATATTATTAAACTTTATGACGTTTGCGAAGGCAATCGCCACCTCCACCTAGTTACCGAATTATGCACAGGTGGTGAGCTTTTTGACCGCATCATTGCTCGTGGTCACTATAGTGAAGCTGATGCCGCAGTGCTTGTGCGTAAGATCTCAGATGCCGTCAAGCATTGTCACGACCGAGACATTTGCCATCGCGACCTTAAACCAGAGAATTTTTTGTTTGCAACTAAATCTGAAGATGCCGAGTTAAAGGTTATTGATTTCGGACTATCTCGTATGGACGATGGACTGAGTGCAGGAGTAATGACGACGCGCGTCGGCACGCCGTATTATATTGCTCCGGAAGTACTGGGTCGCCACTATGACAAGTCATGCGATTTGTGGAGTATTGGAGTAATCATGTACATTTTGCTCTGTGGATATCCACCATTTTATGGCGATACGGACCCAGAGATTTTTGCCTCAGTGCGTTCTGGAAAATATGACTTTGACTCACCCGAATGGACGAATGTGAGTTATGAAGCGAAGGATTTAATCAGTCATCTTTTGTTGGTGGATGCCTCCAAGCGTCTGACTGCAGAGGAAGTCCTGCTCCATCCGTGGATTTCAGGTGCTGCTCCAAGGTCAAGTATGACACTCAACCCGAATATCTTTTCGAGCTTGAAACGCTTCACGGGCAATAACAAATTAAAAAAAGCGGCTCTTGGTGTCATTGCTGATTTGGCTACGGAAGGAGAGATAGCGGAGCTGAAGAACCAATTTATGGCAATTGATACTGATGGAAACGGCGTCATAACCGTTTCTGAGCTCGCCGAGGCTCTTCGCGATACGGGTCTTGGCATGATTGAAGAGGAGGTGTTGGACCTAGTGAAGGGCATTGATATCGACGGAGACGGATTGGTTGACTATCCGGAGTTTTTAGCAGCAACGATGAAGCGCAATTTATCTAACCAGAAGGAGCACCTGATCAACGCATTTAATTATTTTGATACGACGAACACAGGCCACATCACTAAGGCCGATCTTGTACAGTTTATGGGTAGCGAAGAACAGGCACAGGAAATTATTGACGATGTCGATGCAAATGGTGACGGTGTCATTAGCTTCGAAGAGTTTGTGGCCATGATGAACCGCAAGGGATACGGTGACGATTCCGAGATGGACAACTTCGACGAAAACGCTTTTTATTCAGCAGCTCAATACAGTGCGGGCGACGCGTATTCTTTGAAGGAGACTGAGCTGTAAGAACTGATCGAAACACCGTAGCAGAATATACTGAGCATCGTTCACTCTAAATGTGTACAACACGATTGATGTGTGTATAAATGTGTTTGTCTATTTGCCAGCCTTGTTGCGACGATTGATACGGTCATGTCTTTTCTCGGCGGCAAGTCGTTGGGTCCGAGCAAGCGCCTCTCGCCCAGCACGCTGCGCTTCCTGAACCGATGTCGTTGTAGACAACGTGTGGGTTAAACGCTGAATTTTCAGCTCTTCCTCACGCTCTTGTGATCGTTCGCTGATATATTGGGCGAGTTTATGTTGATAATGGTGACGCAAATTCGAGGAGAAGTTCCCAAAGATCAAACGTCCAGGACCTCGACGTCTCAAAGTTTGAGCAATCTTCATTTCTTTCTGTTCCTTTAGTCTAGACTTTCGATTCGCTAGATCCTTAGAAGGAGAAAGACTCGGGCCATCAATGAGACGCTGGTACAGACCCGACGTCGAGTTTTCATCCACGGCTTTGATCTGTGACATGGAGTTGGCCTTGGCACAACTGGCATCACTATTAACCTCGTATTCTGTCTGGACAAGTCGTTGCAACTCTGTAAGCGAAGATGCAACGGTTTTTTTACGTGTAGAAGTTCCTAAGCCGACGAGCAGCAGTTGGAGTTGTGGTATACGAGCACCCGAAGTCGAGAGATCAGTTGACACTTGAACTTCCACCTCATCTAAAACGCGAAACGCAATGCGCTTATCGCCAGGTGCTACAACCTCCAAAATCTCACGGTCGTTCTCATCCCAAAGCAGATGCGCCTGAGGAATTCGACGAATGAACTCGGCGCTTGCAAATGCACCACTGGCAGAATCGGTATCCTCGACGCGAACGCCCAACAACGAGGGATTTATTTGCACGACACGACTTCTGTCACGCAGATACACAGGAGCACGAATGTCGTATTTTGGTACATAAACAATAAAGCCATTCTGTTTGAGCGCTGTGATAATCGCCGGCACTCTAACCGTATGACTGCTGAAATATAGCGCCAGGAACAATACGTTGCACGCGCGAGCTGCGAGTTTCGCTTGACGATTTTTTTTGTTTATGTGTCGAGCCAGTGGTACCAATTCCTCCGATGGAAACACCTTTACACTTTCCATAACTGATGTATCAGCCGAAGTGCTTACGACAAGCTTTCTGTCTATAAATGTATCAGAGCCTTTAACGACGTTCTCATTATTCTGAGATGTCATGACAGAAGCAACAAGTGTCGTGGGTAGTGCCAACGCTACAGGTCGACGCAGCGCAGTATGCTGTGATACTGGCCTTAGGCGTGACTCTGCAAGTGATGCTAGCAGCTGACGATGCACAATGATGTCGGCGTAACGGCGAATAGGTGACGTAAAGTGCGTGTAGTACTGCAGCCCCAGACCGTAATGTGCAAATCGAGTGAAGTCGCCGTTATCCATCGCTGCGTCTCCTGCTGCGACGTCGCCCGAACTCACATATTCAGCCTCGGTCATAACGCGTACAGCTAGGGATTTTAACAGTGACATTGTCTTACTATCCATACGTCCCGATTGTTCAGCCTTTGCTAGCGATTGCTGCAGCGTCAAATTGTTTGTAGCGTCAATGGCAACATCACGGGCCTTTGCGAGGTCAACAAGCTGGGTAAATCTATCTCCAGATGGTGGTGAATGGCGACGTAATAGTGCGTGGGTCGGACTATGCTCTACGAGCCTGCGAGCTACTGTTGAGTTGGCTAGGATCATGATTTCAGCAATCGTGCCATGAATCTCCAGACTCTCTTTTTCAGTTAGCACCATGACTTCTTGGCCTAACTCCGAGACATTCATAGAAAAACGCACTTCTTCTTTCTTTGACAGATCCAAACCACCTTGAGAGCCACGCAAACGGCTTAACCGTCGACCAATTTCTGTAATGATACGAAGATCCTCGCGAAGATCTTTCTGCAATTGCATAGGGATGCGTCCACCAGCTACACCCTCATAGTCCTCTTCCTGGAGAACTTGCGTTTTCACTGAGCCACCGCTTTGTGCATCATGAACATCAGCATTATTACCCTGCAACAATCGATGAGCTTGTTCATAAGTCATTGAAGAGCAACTACGAATGACTGTACGGCCAAACCATGTGGTATTTTCGACGAAATCATACGTCTTGCCATCCAGTTCCCATATGACACTCACTGCACAACGATCTCTATTCTCGTGAAGCGAGCACAGATCAGCACTGAGCACGGATGGAAGCATATCCAGACGCTGTCCCACCAAATACACAGTTGTTCCACGGTGTCTTCCTTCAAGATCTAGTGCCGAACCGTGTTCAACAAAGTACGAGACATCAGCAATGTGCACGCCAAGCTCGATGTTTCCATTGGGTAAGCGACGAATCGACATAGCATCATCAATATCTTGACAGCCGGCAGGATCGACACTGAAGATGCGGTGCGTTTTCCGTAGATCACGGCGTCGCGCTACTTCGTCCTCGGGAACATTCCAATTCAACAGCTCGCACCTCGGTGGTCTGTTCGCGGTCGAGCATTCAGCCACACATTTGCCTTCAATATCAATCGGACACTCCTTGCTGGATGGAAGACACGCTAGTGCTGCTTCACTAAATGGAGAACCGTCCACTTCATGGTCCACAAGTAATGCACTAAGCTCCGTCTGCAAGCTACCACAAGAACCGAGAATGCTAACATAATGTCCATTAGGATATGAACTATCCACAGCCCAGGAGTCGATAGCGACCTTAAGACGTTTGTCTAAAAGCACATCAAGTCGCTGGGAGCGAATGCGAATCTTGGGCAAGCGCCTATCCATTGGCACAGCAAGCGCGTGGTCATCTCCTGCATTAACAGTAGAAGCACTGATTGTGGCAACGTGATATTGAAATGATCGGCTCAATATTCCCACAACTTTCCCCGTTGGAATCACTCCAAATTGGTCCTCTGACTTTGCGCAAACATGATCATTTTCGTCTTCATCGTCTTCTTGTGTATAATGCACCAGCACTTGATCACTCTGCGGAGTGCGCCAGAACGTTCGATTCAATACCTCGACCACCACTCGGTCTCCGTGCATACCTCGATTCATTGCAGCTCGTCCGTAAATAAACACTTTGTCGATTGCACGTGGTCCTTCAACAGCCACAAACGCTTCTAGTGGGTCGTGCGTACTCACTTCAAGTTTTCCAGCTACAATCTGTGAATTCGGTCGTATCAGCAATTCTCGTAACTGCACACTGTTTAAGTGAGGTGCAAATTCGGATTGTTTGGCAATCAAATGACCTGTTTCGTCTGGCAAACGCTGTGTTTCCTCATTCAATATAGCCTCAGCCGCATTAGCTGCAAGTTCCAGTAAAAGCGCCGTTTCCGCCGTGTTTCTTTGTAATCGCTCGGCTAAGAATGTCTTGCATGTGACTGCCTGGACATTAGCCGTTGCGACAAGCTGCACGCTTAGTGGTGCATCGACATTTCTCGTCATGTACACAATCTTCGCTTCCGGTGGCAAATGCCCCTGTGTGACATACCATATGACGGTTTTAAGCAATACTTGATCGTCGCGTACGCTTTGCAGATCATTTCCAGCTGTTGGCTCGACAAAGGTCTCGACATGGTGCTGATTTGGAAAGAGATAGAAATATACATGCCTTCCAATGCATGGATCATCTCCTTTAAAAATCTTTCGAAGTCTGGCCGCATTGCGACTCGAAGCCATTCGTAAAGCAGCTTTATAAACGCTTTCTAAAACTAAGAGACGCGGCGCCGCACACCTAAAGAGTATCTCCTCTTCAAACAAGTCTATACACTGCAGAAGACTGAAAGCATCAGGCAAGACGTACTCACCGTCATGAATTCTCGGTAGCATTTGTCTTGGTAAGAGTGCGCGAGCTTGACGACAAGTCCAGCAAGATGCCACTCCGCAGTGTATGTCGCGTCGCACATATCGCTCTTGAGCCTTTATTGCACCAGGTTTGCGGTAGCGACTGCGCTCGACAAAGTTAACGTCCGTACACACATCTATCCAACGCGAGGTGCCCCGTTGATTAATTCCTACTTGCAGTTGCTGCAATTCTTCTTCTTCCTGCTGCTGCAAATATTTCTCGAAACGCTGACGTCGAGCGTCTTCCTGCTCCTGGAGTTGCCATGCCATAGTGAGGGAAGTGGGAGATATAGTAAGATTTATTGAGAAATAATAAAAGAGAAAAATGGAAAGTAAAAATTTAAAAATGAAAAATCTAACACTTTTTTCAAGCATTTTGACAGAAAATACAGTGTTTACGAAATATTACATATTGCTTTTTAATTGAATAAACGTCTATATTAAGCGCCTGTGAACTAATTAAAGCGCGTTTTGCACGATCTGCTGAAAACATCTTATTGTCGACCTTTTTTCAACTCGAGCTGTTGTCGCACTTCCATGACAGCTGCCGGATTTGGATGATATTTAGATGGGTCGATCGCTTGGCCACCGCCCATGGTTTCCTTGTCGCTGCGGATAGGCTCGGAGGACTTGTCCTCATCCTCCTCAGTAATACTCATTAAACCCTTATCGTCTGAGTAATGCTCTACCTTCATATCTGAAATACCTAAAACGTCGTCTTCGTATTCTGAACGCGTAAATTTTTCAGCAGTCATGAATGGGTCGTCTTCAGCAGCGCCAAACGGTGAATAAATGAAAGAGTTAGCTAGCGGGTCCTCCAAGACTAGGGTAAAAGGCTCGTCACCGCGCTTCAAAGCATCCAGGCGAGCCAACCAAGCGTTCAGCAATGAGCGACCGCCGTCGCTATCACCAACAGCAAATGGATTGCCATCCTCAATGTTCTGGCGAACTTTATCGAGTAAGCCCTCGACAGTTGTGTACAAACCACCAAGCGACCCGTGCGCCATCTCCAGCTCAATCTCGGGAATGTTTACACATGCCGAGTCAGCCTTGAGAATATCACGATCCATAACATGAGGGTCCTTGTGCGGGTCCACCTTTAACGTTATACGTTCGCCTTGTGGTGGGATGGCACCACCTGCTTTCACTTCATTTGTTTTGAAGCCACAAGCTTCACAGTTAAAAGACATGATAATTACTTCCTTGAAGTGAGGAATGTCCGTCATGCACATGCAAGAGACGCCAGGCGCCTGACAAGCGTAGCAATCGGCAGGGATCTGAATCACCTCTTTCTTGGCAATATTGGCTTCTTCTACAAACTTGTCCAGACCTTCATTTCGGTGCGGGAGCACACGAGGACTTTGCGAAGGGGCGTCATGGGACAAATCTGGCTGCAGTCCACAATCCAGATCTTGCTGTTCAGAGCGATAATAGTGCGTAATTTTCATCTCAGGGTCAGAGATAGGCGCCAGTGGGTTTTCAATGTGCGAATTACCCGATGGGTCATCTAAAATTAATGTGAATGGTAGAGTGATACCTGCCGACATGAGTGCGAGTTTTGCGATAAATTCATCAATTTTCTCAGTGGTTTCAGGATCGATCTCACGACGGTGCTCTTGGCTTGCACGTAGATCCTCAATCGCTTTCTGCAGTACACCTTCGATAGTGTTAATGCTACCTCGCTGAGTTCCACGAGGAATCTCAAAGTCTAGAGATGGAAAATAAATCATTCCAGCATCGCCTTTGATCAGCTGGCGATTAAGATCCTGTAGTGATTTTGAAAAGATCAGTAGTTGGTTTCAAAAGCCAAGGATGGTCGTACGTACCTCTGGTTGTGTCAGCTTGAGCTCGATCCTGGCTCCTTGCTCCTGCACCTTGCCTCCAAACTGTACCTCGCTATTTCTAAAGCCGCAATGTTCGCATTCAAACGACATGAGAATCACCTCTCGAAAGTAAGGAATCATCGTGAGCAGCAGCTTGGTCGTGCCGTCCTCATGACAGTTCATGCACAAACTCTCCATGGTTGTGACCTCAGGAACGTCGTCTTCGGCCTGTAACGTGTAGATTGATGGCGTCGGCTGGCTCTCGTCATTTTCGTCTTCGTCAGCTAAATGGAACCGTTTATCCACGTTGGGCCGTGTCCCGCCAAGTACGTGTGGTGCTTTCTCTGACATACTATCTTGCTGTATGGCTGGTCAGAAGTGGAGCTTTTAATGTTGCTTGTGTATTATTGGCGATCATAAGTTGCGGTAAAGCTGGAAAGCACATCAATAACAATTTGCAACATATTATTCAAGCGGTGGAATCTTGATGATGGTGTTCCACCAACTAACATCTATTGTAGATATTAAACTCGCTTGTTAAAACTTAAAAAGCTTGCTCACACCACGCTTTATCTTGGCTTAATAAGATACCGAGCCTTTTTTAGTCACATTACGCTCACAACCAAAAGTATATGGATATTTTTGTAGACTATCCTACTGGTCGTTTCAGAGTAAAGGTTTGGGTCTTGCTGAAAAGCGACATGGACAACTAGCGCAAGATAACATCAATCAACATGGCTAGCAACTTCTCCGACATTTCAGGGGTACGTTAGCGATACTGATTATTCGACGACACTTACGTATGTTGTGTGTATTGGACGACAGAATTCGCCTGTGAAGGAATATGAAAACCATTTTAAGAAACGCAGTGAACCAGCACGACGGATCAAGCTGTTGCCTCTTTCCGAATTATCCAGTCCTGGAGTCTATGAATTTGTTCCTAGTAAGACTATGGTTAATAAAATGAAGAAAATCACGCACAAACGCGAGCTCGTGGAGGCCGTGCGCAAGGCCAATACTCCAATAATGTTGCCTGGACGAGAGACTGGTTCGAAACGCAGTTTGCAAGAGGATACTGGAAGCAGTGTAATGCTTGAGTTAAATGCTGGTCAGCGAGATATTGAATATCTGGAAGGCGGGGTGCATTTAAATGCTCGAAAATTCAACGAACTTAAACTCATGGTGGATCGAAGACAGCGCGAGCTTCACAGTCTTCTGGTACAAATTATTATAGAATTTACAAGCTATTGTATCGTGATGCGTTATTGTGTTGAGTTTTTAGGACGAGCTTCGAGTTCTGCAACTTGAACACGAAACACTTAGCAAGATTCAAAACCAGGATACTCCTGTATCCAAACGGAACAATCGAATCAAGCAGGAAATAGCACAGTGTACTGCTGGAATGGAAGAGCAAATGCACTCGCGGCGGCAACTGGAACACATGATTCGACGGTTGCAAACAACCCAGCTGCGTGTAGATGCACAACTCACTGGAATGACCACAGCAGTTAACAATAGTGAGCGAGAAGTAGAAGAAGTACAACTGCTTTGTCGACAGCTCGAAGTAGGTAAAAGTCGTGCGGTTCAGTTTTTGCAGGATGTGCAGTTGCAGATACAAGTCGAGCGGAAGGCTCGAGCACGAGATTTAGGAGACCACGAAGTGCGTGCAAGAAATTCTCAAAAGATGGAAACGTGGCGATTGCAACGTATTAAAGAGCGTGATGAAATGTTGGCTGAATTGCGTGGCGACTTGTCAGCTGAGGAGGAAAGTCGAATGTTGCTGAACATTAGGAAACGAGAACATGCAAGTGAAGCTTTAAACGCTGCTAACTTAATCAAAGCACAAAAATTTGCAGATTTCGAAGCTTTGCTGGATGAAATTAAGCTAACGACAGGAGCCGCAAGTTTAACAGACGTGGTCGAAAAGATAAATGCTCAAGTCGCCACGAGCGTATCACTGGATAAGGAAAAGTTGGAAGCTGAGGAACGTCTTCTTGTCAGTCGGCGTAACAAAGAATTAATGTATAAGGAGCTCAATGAGCTTAAAGCGTCGTATGTTGGGAATCTAAACCTTGACCGCGATTTATATAGCAGTCTGGAAAACGAAATTCGACAAGCAAAAGTGACCCTTAGGGTCAACAAATCTGCCGTTGATCATCTTAACGGAGTCATGTCAGCAATTCGACAGGAATTTTCCGGGCTGGCGAAAAGACTCCAACCTTTTGATGATATTTTGGAAGGTGGCCATTGCCGTGTAGTAGAAGAGACTTCTAATGACACAGATTATGATAACATGATTCCAGTAAGCTCACAGTCATCCTTTGGAACAAACTCATTAACCATGATTGAGCTAAAGCTCACCAAAATTTTCGAGATCGTGGGTCAATCGATTTTATCCGTCAACAGCTTAAGTGAGTATGCCACTGCTTTTACAAATGATGATGCAGGTGATGAGAACACCCGAAACAACTTGGCGGAAGAGGATGCAAGTGTTAATTTGCTGGAAGACGACAACGCAATGTGGTCCCCCATTGCAAACAGCGATCTCCATCTTCACAAGAACAACATTCGAGTTCGTCCAGCAGGCCAAAATGGTGTCACTCTCGCTATCAGCACCGAGGGACAGAACTCTGCTCGTACCGAAGCTTCTGCGGGCAAAATAAATCTTGGTGAAGAAATATGTGGATCGGTGCTATCGCGCGATATTTTGAAACAGACCAGTTCGCGTCACTATACCGACGTGATGCGCAAGAAAGAGGTATGGATACGTTTGATTATATGGATTATTCCATCGTGTAATTAATGTGATCTTTACTGCAGCTGGCAGAAAGGCGTAAAGTGGCTAGCGAAAGAGGCATTTCTGATGAGGAAATGATGGCCAAATTGCGAAAACGTAATCAGGTCGAAACGATTACTCGACTTGCGACGTCCCCATTACGTCATGGCGCACAAGTTTTTCTAGCTAGAGCTGCGAGTGGTATTAAAGATGTAGCTGTCGGCTCAACAAGCGTCTCATCATTAGCTATTGCAACGCAAATGCAATTTAGTGATCTTTAGATTAACAATGTAATGAAAAGACAAAAATACTATCAGATCTGTAGAGCCCTTTGCGAACTTTATGTTGCTTTGGATCTCGTTGGCAAAGCTAATGCTTCAACTTACGTTGCCAGTGCCACCCACTTGGTCAGGACAGCGATATTCTTCAGGCAACAGCGATCGCTGCAGTTTATTAAACGCAAATTGACGCTTGCCGGTATTCTTGAGTGCATTCTCGATTCGCACGCCATGACTTCGCATCACTGAGACTGTAGCTGGCACGCGATGTGCCGGTAAGTCGTGATGGCGCTGCAATATACGCACCTGCTCCAATGTAACTGACATGGCTGTACGATCTTTGGCACTTTTGCATACGGTGACACGCCCTCCACCCAATTCTCGACACAGATCCGATGACCGTTTGAGAATCTCCGTCCGCTTCGTCTTGACCAAACTCTGAGCCGCTTCATTGATACATGTCTCTAGAGCCCGCAACTCTTGAGTGACTTCATCTTGGGTTAAATGCAACGGGCATGCAAGTGTCGAGTCTGTTGACATGGCTTTATAGCGGTGTGATCCGACACGGCTTCGACCTGATGACAGACCGTTCGCACCACTATTTGGCATGGCAACAATAAGACGGCGATATTTTTCACAAAATGCCTTCAGCGGCTTCAAACTGCGAAAGTTAATAATGTCTTGCAGCTCTGTCTTGGCACGTTCCGTGTTATTAGCAATCGTTTGCATTTCATTAATACCTTGCGAAAACAAAACCGGTGTGACATGAATTTCCCCGCCAGCAGCCAGACGTTCTGGAAGCTCGACATCACTCGTTGTGACCTGAACTGTCACAATGTACTTAATGTGCGAGCGTTTCACACCGGTCTTGTTTGACACCGTCACCTTTACGATCCCAGCTTCATCTGCAACATCCTTGCGACGTGACATACGGAACGAGAACCGATTCAACGGCTTGTCTCGCACATCTTGAATCACAAATGCCACACAACTCAAATGTTCGACAGAGCCAGCCATATCCTCTAGCATGCCAATCTCTTTACCGTGAGTAGATAGTAGCGATTCCACCTGAAAAAGAAATCCCAAGCTCGAAATCTGGCGCAACATATCTTCTCCACGAATGGCATCTGGATTTTGGATAGCAACCTCTACCTTTCGTACAAAGCTGCACGTCAGAGCTGCTAGTGCCTGTGCAAACGCACAATCCATGCGCAACTGCAAATCCCATTTTAAATCATCATATTCACGTATTTCTTCAGGCCATTTCGACAAATCAAGGTCGGCGTCGGCAATCTTAGCTTCCATTTTCTTGCGTCGATTCTGGTATGAGAGGATCCCGCCTTTATTAAATTTGTACACGTGGGCAGCAGGTGCACCAACCGTCGTAAAATCATATGCCGAGACTTCTTTTGACGATCGTCTCCTTTCATCATTGATAAACGCGTTCGTGGGGCCAATGAGCAGATCCTGAATATGCATATTAATTGGTACAAAGCGCAAATCCGCCGACTTTTTCTCCACACTAGCTTTAAAGTAATTTTTGTGCTTGTCACGATTCACTAGGTACTGAATATTTCGACGCAACATTGCCACGTATTCTTTGCGTCTTCGCACACGATCCTCCAGCCACTCACGCGCAAGCGAAGAGTCAGTATCGTCTTGAATTTGGCCAATTAATGTACCATAGAAACCTAAATTTTGCTTTCCCTTTTTCTGGTGCAGAAAGCTATGCAGATCCTCACGAGCACGATCTGCCTGTTCCTGTCGTTCTGCAGCAATCAACTCCATCAATTGACGCGGAATGGCGTTCGAATAGACACTCTCTTGCAAGTCCTCAACTACAAGTCCACCGCCACCATCTTCTGTGTCGTATTGGAAAAAGCGAATGATGTTACCAATATTCTTATGCGATGCAGCATCATCTCGATTCGACGTGTCACCAGGCATCATGACCGTCTGGACACTCAATTCTGCATTTTTGACGTTGCCCATCAAAATGTTATTTATTTCACTCTGCAACGACGGAAACTCTTCTAAGATCGCACACGTGTGGTCGTCTGAAGGATAGATATTCAAGGAATGGCCACTTGCTGCGGCGTCAAGGACAGCCTGAGAAGAAGTGACAAACTCAAGAACAGGGTGAAACATTGTCATTTGAAACGACATCTGCGGATTCGTCGATGAATCTTGACTAAGGGGACTCGAAGTGGAATGGTCGAGATACGTCGCAGACGTTTCACGCTTCCCAATCGTGCTCGCATGCACCATAAAGCGCAACAACGTATTGGACGCCGGGCCGATCACAGGCACCTCCAACACAGCGACAAAAGGAAATATAGCGTGAGTCGAGCCTGTAGTCAGCACTGACTCCGTTTCACCTGCCACACCAACGGGTTCAGTCGTGCCAATGCATTTCCACGCAGCCGCATTCGAGATACTATTCAACGTATTGCTGGACGTTATCGTTTCTTTGGAAGAGTAAAAGTCGAGTGATACAAAGCACGCACGATCAAACGATGCGGGTAACTTGAGCCGCACAATAATGCGCAACCGGCTGCCTGGTTCATCATTGTTCAGAAGCGAGTCTCCCATACTTAAACGATCGCGCAATAGTTTTGAATACGGCATGTGGCTTGACGAGCCGGATGATCGTGGAGTGTAGTTAAAAACATCCTCCTTCGACGACTGGTCCAATGATGGTGCATCCTCGTGTCGATAATTTTCCGTGCTTGGATTCCATTGTAAGAAGAGAAGCAAGAGTGGTGGCAGACTGTGCGGTAACCACACGACAAAAATATACCACACCTCGTCAGAAAGCTGGTGTTCTTCACCCTTGTGCGAAACGTATTGTGCAATGTATATCACTTGTGCTGAGACGTAAAAGACACATGTCGTGGCTATAATTATGTAAAATATTGTAAGAGACTTGCGAATCCGGGCGTCCGACGGATCTTCGTTCAACATGAGCGTTCGACCTCGACTCATGACCATGCAGCCAAGGACCATTAGCATTAGCGTGTAGACTATAAACCCCATGCCAAATGCCAAGTAAAATGTTTCCATATCGCACTCTCCGATTGCAGACCTGATAATTTTTCCCTCGGCAGCGATGGACAACGCACACTCTTCTTCCGATGAACAAGCTGTCGACTCCATATCGTAAACGCACTCAAGTTTTTCGGCTGACGTGACAGTCACAACAACAACAAATGCCAAGACGCAGGCATTAATTAAGATGTAAGCCAGTACAACGGGCGAAGTAAAGCTCAGTTTCTTGAACCACTTGAACGATAGCACAGTAGCCCAATGAAAACAGAGTGAAAGAATCATTGCGTTGTTGAAAAAATACTGGGCCGTATACCAATGCACGTATGCCTTTGATGGCTGAATGACCCACACAAGGTATCCTCCTGTGGCTGCTGCAAATGAAAACAATGCGGTAATTGCTACTAAATCCGTCCACAATGTACTGACAGTCAGCGGTAAGCCATGCCATCGAATAATCACCAACGAAAAAAGAAAACAAGCGCCATAAACTACTACTGTCATAATGTCCAGTGGTGCTGCTTTCAATGATCTACTTGCATCATTTAGCGCATAAAACCTGATAGGAGAATTGTCAACTGCTGATGCCAGTCCCTGATATGCTGAAAGGTATACCTTATCAATGGCATATGTGCTGTTCTCTGGATTATCGAGCATTTTAAACATAATGTTGACTGTGTCGCCGTTTTGGATACTGCCTGAAAAAGAATCTGGAATGGTGAAGGAGATATTTGACGCACCAACATAAAGTTCAAGGTCAATTGGAGACGAGATACCAGAGTCAGGAAGAAGCATTGACGCGGTTGTAACATTGTCAATCATGGTGCCAAATTGTTCTTCCTTGTCACTCGCGACACGAAGCAAAAAGAAGGCACCAGCACTGAGCACAGCGCCACTTGTGACTCGAATGGTCACGGGAGTCGAGCTCATGATAATAGGATTTTCTGCTACAATTTCTGTGTTTGTAAACATTCCAATAAGTTCATAGGCTTCGGATGTCAATTCAAGTTGGAACGCTTGTTGTCCGTTACTTGACGACGCAAGACAACCTGTTCCATCAAATTTAACCGACAATGTCAAAGCTTCTGAGAATGTTCCAGGTCCTAATCGCGTCGTGACTTGGTCCACAATAAATTTGTAATTGTTATGCACTCGCATTAAATCGACTAAAGCATCTACATCTATTGCCATTATTGTAGCATTTCCATCACGAGAGCATTCCACACTCGTGTCTTCTGTGCCAGCAAAGCAGTCAGATGATGAACCTTCCAGCACCCAGAGAGAAGGTGTGTCCAGATTTATTTCACATGTAAAATTGCACGAAGACGAAGCCACCGACTCAGGAGTAAGATCGAATGTTCCGAGTAATTGTGGAAAATTATACTGAGATTGAACCACAAGTGAGCAATTAGAGCACGTGCCATTGAGCGACGACGAGACATGTATACTCGCCGCATCCGAAAGTTCACTTCCTTCGTCTACATTACGCAAATTAGATCTACGACAGTTTTTCACGCAATCCACTGGGTCCGTATATACTGTTCCAGTCGTATCAGTCGTATACAAACACTTGTTTTGCTCGCATTTGTACGCAAAAGTCTCGGGAAATGCCGCCTCCGTCACGAAAAGACTTGCAATTACTAAAAGTAGCCCCTTTGACGATCGTAACGAGGGGCCCGAAGGCATCGGAGCATTCCTATTGACAGCCAGCTTGAGCTTCAGAGCCTTACCTATATCACGTCCTTCACTATTGGGTACGCTAGTCCTAACGAGGCGTTAGACGCCTACACTCTTGCTGATTATAAAGCGCGAGAAGACAGCAAGTCAGCTCTCTCTATGCAGTGGATTGGACCAGGGTGCCGTCTGGTTGTTTCTCTCGGCTTTCCTCTCCCCTTCACGAAAAGCCAGTCTCACTCTTGCTTGAAAAGAGTATACATGACTATGTGGTACATTGCCCCCTAAACCTTACAAAAACCTTGTGCTGATATCACTTCTGAGGAGCTGTGGTGCTATAATTTGAGTTTGTGTACGCTATTGATGGGCTTGGTCCTTAGTAACTGATATACATACACAGCGATCTTATATATGAAGCAGTCTGTTGGGGTTTCTAAGAAATTCTGATACAGTAGGTCGATTAATATGGGACCTTGGCCTTTTAATTTTGAAATATACAATAGGAAAAGGTCTTGTATTCGTGATGGAAAGATATGTGGTTGCACATTCAAACCACGTAGTATGTGACAAGAATTCAGGCTGCTTATATAGCGATAAGCCATGTCTTTATTTTCTTGCTTCATGCCGCAATTCTGGAATCAGGGATAAATCTCTGACGCAGCCACATACAAAGTAATGTAATCGCGACGATATACCACGCGCCCAATTGCATGAAGGGGTTTGCAAGGTCTTTGTGAAAATATGTCTCGGTGCATGAGCTGCTGAACGCCTATTGCGGACGCCGCGGAACATGGTGTCATTGCACTCGCTGCACGCGAGCTGTTTGGCTTTTTTGACGGTGATGAGGGCATTTGCAGCTTCGGACGCATTGATCTTAACGATCGTGAGACGCCAATAAAGTGTTGATGTGTTGTGATACCAACTACATGTCATTTCTCGTACGGACAGCATACGAAACTCAGATTGAAACTCAAATCCGATAGTGCATCGGGGCTGCCGTAGCTTATTTGCTACGATCAAGCTTGGTTAAGGTCGGTGACAGTCGTTTTAACTTAGAATCAGTACAAGTGTAGCGGATCGCAATCCACATATTCCAAGAGTAATTACATTTTTAACTCAAGGCTAGTTAACTCTTTCGCTTAAAACGTAAACTGTATTTCTTTGTTTCTTTGCGGGTGAGACGCCTATATCCGAATCTATAGGTTTTCCTATCTATATAAAACCTAGTCAAAAGTATATCCACTGGTTGCCTCAGTTACGTACAAACTTCTTGTTTAAGTGTAGCCACACCATTATGTGGTCACACTAGCTTGTATAAACCACACTATTCTGAGATCACACCATCTGGTGACGCACATTCTTCATATCAGGGCACGTGAAACCCCACCCCTACTACAAATGATGTTATTGGCTTTTTATCGTATTTTGCTGCGCTTCACCAGCTTAGAATCAGTGTATATTGCCGCTAGAATCAATGCGTATCACCGATACATCCACATTAACACTTGTAAGGTACCTTTCTTTGGTGCTTCGTTGGGAACGTGGCCTTCGAGCAGACCTCGGATAATGGTGGGATCGTTGATTTATCAATGTCTTTGTTCTCGCGGATTAAAAAAAGGCGGCTTGGCGGTCTCACCTACTTGCACAAGAATAGCGCAAAAAATAGCGACATGGCATGGCCTGTTACCAATTTTCTCAGGAATTGTGTCAACTGGTGCTGGGGTGTGGTATAATAGTCATGAAGTGGTGCATGTCACAACCGTGATGATGCCTCTTGATGGGGCAATATAGACAGAGCAATGGTCATATACAACATGTGTTGCTTGCTGAAAGCCTTGGGCAGCATCGCACTTTCAAAATCAATCCGTTTTATGAAAGAGTCTAGCCGCACATTAAATGATGTTTTACTCGTGGTACGCGACTCATATAGTTCCACATGACGAGGACCTCAAGTACTGTATACTGTTCGTAGTGCACGGATTATTTTTGGTGGTCATCTCGGGAGAGAGAACATGCGGCTGATAGACACTATGTACCGGTGGCTAAACATGTCATTTGTGGGTAGGAACGTACGTACGCACGTAAAACAAACGTGTAGATATGATGTATCCTGGTCGCCATAACAAGAACTTCAAGTACTGAATACTGTTCGTGGTGCACGGACTTTTTAGGTGGCCATCTCGAAAGAAAAAAAACATGCGACATGATAAGCACAACGTACTGGTGGCTACTCATCTCATATGCACAGGTCATAGATCATGTTCAAAACATAATCGTGTAATTGGACGAATGCCGATAATCCTAGGATATTCAACGCGCCGAATTTCAAAACCTCGAGAGGAGTCTTCTACGACTGTCATCCTTCACATGCTCACACGACGGACAAGGGATTGATTCACTTCCAAGGTTTATAGACCTGCGAGCATAAAACCAGTGGCTGGTGGACGTCCACTCGAAACTTTCGGAATTTAGATTACCAATTTGACCCGAATTTACATTGCGCCGTTGCGAACCTCGCTGTGGCGCGTCCTCTGATGCGACCTTCCCAGAAGATAAGCCAGATTTGCACAGCAGAGTCATAAGCGAGGCCGGCTGAACAATGTTTAGGACTTGGTGATACACATTTTCACGGTGGTGAGTGCCCACCTCGGCGTTTACCGCGTGCTTTGCCCTTCGCAAAGTCAATCATGAACGCGTTGGTCAGACATCTGCCCCACTGAAACTAGCTTCTTAAGCCAGAAGGTGGATGAAGCGACATATCCTCTTCATCTATCTCACAAATTGATCAAGTAATATTCGGTACTTTTGCAAGATCCCAGATATAGATGTTCAGCACTTGAAAGAGGTATGTGATCTTTTAACCTTGCTGAGACCGTAACTCTTGAGGATGTGATCCGCTCAAAAATCGGAGTGCATGAGCGGGTGACTTATACCTCTGAACCTGTACGGGCTACATAACGGCAGGACATGTATCTCCGGGTGAATCAAAAGAATCGCGAGGTCATCGAATTTGTGTAAGTGGCCGCTATTTCCGCGCCAGCACCGCTAAGAAATGGCTTACTGGGTGAACAATGGCCTCTTGTCAGTAAGCTAGGCGTCGTTTGAGCTCCGCGACATGCTATTTCAGCAGCCTCAAATTCTCTCCATTCCTCTAAGCATTTTCACGAGTTACACGTCAAGCTCCTCATCCTGGTTCTTGCCAACGAATAGATACTTTATAGCATGTCTATCTTTGCAACTCCAGGTGGCAGGACGGCACTCGAAGGGTTACTACGTGTTTTTCGTGGAAAAATATTTTAGATTGCTTGTTGCGGTGTGTGTTCACTCTATGGCTTGACGAACCAAATCACGAGTTGGTTGATTGAATGAAGACAAGGGCTCTGAAAAATCTTTGTGACTTCATTGTTATTTTTATATACAGGAGCATATGTGTTATGGTTAACGCAAACAACACGCTAATGCAACCTTCGTTCCTTTGGCTAGAGACAACCATCAATCTGCCGATAAAAATTGGCATTAGAGGTTTGACGGTTAATGCTGAAACCCATATGGAAGAGGATCGTGGAACGGTTAGGCAACTAGTCTTATGTTAGGCGATAAGTTCGAATTTATTTTTTGTCCACTTTCATAACTAACCCACTATATGCCAATTTTGACTATCCTATATACTACATTCAACCCTGCTTGAGATTCGAGCAGGCTGCTTAACCCGTACTCGTAAGGCTATCGATTCGAGCATCAGTGATATTTGAGCGCTCGGGTCGATTCATTTGGATTCAAAGAATTATATTCTTTCGACGTGCGCTTTGTACGAAGCCTTGTTTGCACTGGATTGAGCGTTGCGATAACATATTGCAATCGGGCACTATGGCAAAGCTGACTAGGTACAACATCAGATTGATGATATTACAACAAGAGAGGTTAATTAAACACGTTAGCTGATAGCCACGCAGAACGCGGCAATCAGCGCTCTTAATTTTCAATGTAACAGTGAACGCCTTTGATTACTTATCAGCTAATTCTGTAATTCACCTTTAAGCTTGAGAGCTGTGAGAACATCAGTGCCTGAAAAGAATAGACTCCACACAATTTGGACGGTATTTGAACCCAACATATGTGTATTTGTCAACATGGTCCCACACACAATTGCTTTCGGCGTGAGCTGCTACGTATACTCCACTAAATTCAAAGGAATATTAGCTATCTATCTAGATCCCGGAGAAATCTCGCTTACAACTAAGAAGCATCTCATTTACTATGCATGACAGAGGTTTCAAGACGAGGTGATCGCCAAAGCACTACGGAAAGTATCAGATGTAGTAATGATCGATTCACCCGCCATTAATGTGTCAGCCATTGAAATCGCAAAAACAATAAAGTATCTTCTTTACCGACAGCTTAAGAAATGCCGTGACGTAAATCAAACAAGCCCCAATCATATAGCCACACGTCTGGGTCTTCGTCAAAAGATTGAGTTGGTGTCTACTGGAGAACACGCCAAGACTCTTACCGCGGGTGTGTAGCGGAGCGGCGTGGTAGGATAATATCTACTATTCTATAAACAAAACATTGCTCTGGACTTTGCCATAATATGCGATCTAGCATTAATATGGAAAAGCAATATTTTTCTCGCTGTAGCAAAAAACAAGTGGGGTACTCTGGGTAGGAGCTGGTCGGACTATCCGACAGACCAGCATACTTTAATAACCAAATACCAATGTTTTTGCTTACCCTTCTACCTTTAAATGCATGGACTTCTAATATGTTCTATTACAGTAGGAAATGTGGAGCGCGAAAATCCATACTAAGGGGTTTCAAGTGGTTCGAGAGGGATATATCGCGTAATTAGTTTTTGGCAATGAAAAAAGAAATGCTCTGCGCTAACAAGATCCTGTTCTTGGGCTGTTAAAGTTGATTGAATGACCCCGGCATTGCGCGGACTAAGTGCGTAATAAACTACTTGGTGCCACTATTCGAACAAAAATATTGCTCTTTGCATAGTGGGTCCACTTTTAACATCACACGACCCCTCATCCGTCTCCTCTATACGAGATAAAAAGTATTATAACAATCAAATTCAGCGGTCTGTAAGCTGTAGCGAAAGAGGCATACGTGATCCTGGTCTGGTTGTTTTGGAATAAAATTGCCGTTTATGTTGTTTGTGACACTTCAATTCGAGTCGAAAACTGTCTTATATTACACTGAGCTTAAACGCTCGATCGAATGGAGTCTGGTCAGCTTTGCAACACAAACGGACTATCCGACTCGCCACAAACAGCTACTTACCAAGAAGTTTACTTCTGTCTAGCTCACATTTATCGCTCGTTGTTTTTAATGATGCAAGGGAATTGACAGAGTATTTCGTGACGAAGTCATTGCCACACTGATTTAGGAGAATGGCAATATGATGATGTTTTCTGTAAAATCCATACTCAAAGTAAAATCAGATTTGGTCGGCGAATTGTGGCGCCTTACGGTGTGCACGCCGCTCGAATTATAGGTTTTAATCTACCACGTTACAGCACAAACCATTTGAGTGATTGTACCTCATAATGACAACCTAAGTTTTCGTCTTACACCCAGAACTCGTATCGAGGAACTCTAAATAACACGTTCGGATTCGTAAGCATAACCTTTCGATGACTGAATCCGATGAGGCAAGCACTTTGGTAAGCAAGTGTGCGACAAATCAAAGACAAAGCCTGTTTTGGTACATCAATCCGGTTAGCCGAACTCGACATAGTGCTGGCAATAAATTTTGATAATCAATCCATTTTTGCTCTCTTTTTGAGCCCATTAGTCCTGTCAGTGACACCATTACCTGTAGTGGCTTTAAACTACTACCCGTCGAGTTATGTGCGATGATAAAAAATGCGGAGAAGTCAACTGATATTGTATATGCTTTTTGAGAGCATGCGAGTGGTAGTGCCCTAATAAATAGAGACGTGCGCGACTTTCCGCACTCAATATTCAAAAGCAACTACCGTTATTGTAATGGTTACACTTAGCCATTACACAAAGACACATATATGTACCTTCTGTATACAGTGAGAAAATTAATAAAGAAATATATTTGTGTATTATGTCCGGACTTGCATACCTGACATCTTGTGTGACGTCACAAACATTATGTTTGGTGCAGAATCCTCCTGGAGATTTGTACGCGTGACGAGGCCGACGTTTTTATGTCATTTGAAGTGAGTGGCGTAAGCCATATACTTCTACTGGATGCTTACACAAAAATTGATGTCCAATCTTCTAATTTTCAAGCTCCGTATATTCAAGATCTAGAATTAGTCCAAGCCAAACTTCAACCACAGTTAACCTTCTAGGAGCCCTCGGAGCATTTTGTATTTAGAAGCAAAATCATTTATTATTGTTCAGCTGGCGAGTTTTCTCTTCAAACCTTTATATTGTTCTTTTTCTATTTACGTCGGAGCTGTCTTTCTTCCTCCGCGTCAGGAATCGCTTCCTGCGTGTTTCGGATTATAGAACCTTTTGTGACCAACACCATCTTACAATGATTATCTAATAATATTCGCATCGTGTTAGCTTAAACACTATATATAATACGCTTTGATTTGAGCAAATAGAAGTACGAACTATTTCATGGGGCTATGGTTTTCGTATCCTAGGGATATATTTGAGCGTATACTCTGTATATCAGTAAACTCGGATCCTACTACTCAGAAAGAAGGCAGTGGAGGGTCGCGACAACCTTGATTCAGTCACCGTTCTTAATGATAGAACAGCTTGTTTGTCTTCGAACAAATCTATTTTCAACAGAGCTTGGATCAAGATTTGCGCACTGTGGCGGACTTTGGCAAGCAATGCAAATGTGCTTATTCCCGGCTATTCTCGGCAGTAAAATCGTCAGATTGATTGCTTTATTCGATCATGGTCTTGCGCTGGGTGCATTATGATTATGATACGACTGAATGTCTAGTCATGCCTCAGCAACACATTTCAGCATATGAAATCAATCACTGTTTGTTGTAGGAGGTGAAGACCCCTAAAAACGCCTATGGTCTGCATTCAATCGCAGTGTATACAGTCCACAAAAGGATACAACACCCTCGCGACATCGATCGATTTACATCACAGCTTGGATGAAAGTACAATTTTCATATTTGCACGCGAATGCAAACAAACACCGAAATCTATATGGCCTACTGCAAGCGGATAAATTTCCAGGGGCCACCTGGACACAAAGGGTATTCTCGGGCGCCAAACCATTTTTTTAAATTCTTCAGCTGGGAAACCTTATTCTTAATTACAGCTATAACTTAATTATGGAAAGTGCTGTGCCGGGTGACGAAGCATTTCCATACTTGAAGTTGCAGACAGATTCATCAAAGTCAGGCGTTATGCTTCCGCTTGACATATGCAAGTTATAAGATCAATAGGTGATTATGCAACGAAGTGTGTATGAGATGATATCAAAAATGAAAATATCACTGACTGCAGCGGAGCTGCCGTAGCTCTTTGCCTCGAGGAAGCTGAGCAAAGGTCACCGACCTTACGTTCTTTCAATGAACCAGTACAAGTATAATAGCGGATCGCCATCCGCTACCTCCAAGTACTGGAAAAACTTAATTAAGACAGACGGACACTTCTGTTCAGATTTGAACTGTATTTATCTGTTTTGTTGCGGCAGAGCCGCCAATATCATAAACCCTAGGTTTTGCTACTTAATATTACAAGACCTAATCAAAATAGTAAATATGCATTATTCTGGTAACCTGCCACGTGGTGGCTTCTTGTTACACGGTAGCCAACACACTGGCACTATCGTGTGAAATTCACACCTATGTACGGTCGTACATGCTTGTGCGACCCGCCCTTTCGTACAAGTGTAGATGTAACCCCTTCACACTGTCAGCCTCTGCCCTAATCGGCACCCATTTAGGAGATATCAAGGATACCACAAGAATGAGTAAAACCGTTCCAGAACTTAACACGGATCCCGAGAGGGCATGGAACGTTTTGATCAATGATAGTTTTTGAGCTGCGATCATGTCGCTCTATAATATGCTTCATCCAAGTAGTTTCAATACGATACGACATTAATGCGTTTCATTTTCTCATCGGTTAATGGATGTTCTGCTGTGGTCATGTCCAACTTGGTGTCCAAGGTTCTGCTGTGGTCATGTCCAACTTGGTGTCCAAGGTTCTGCGCAAAGTTATCCATCCCATCGCTATTTGCAATATATCGATGAATGATGATTGTCATCGGTATATGTCATGCGATTCCGAGCGGTCTACATCAGATGATGCGAATACTGTTGCAAAAGCAAGGATAAAGCAAAAATCGAGCTTAAACACGCCATGGCTCACAAATGTTGCAAGCTGTGTTCGACTTGTCCACCGGCTTGAAAGAATTGTCGGTGCATGAAATCATCGTTCTTAGATAAGCAAAGCTTCATTTGGCGAACCCGAAACCGCGTAATGAGTTATATAGACTTCTTCTACTTGACAGGTATAATTTACAAATAAGAACATCTATCGATTGAGCTTGATTTGAAAATTTCTACAGCAACCTGTTATTTGTCGCGCGTTGGTCAGCTGATCCTAAACAGGCGCAATTTTTATTATACATCGTATCGAGAACTACTGGAAACAACGCCCTCGCATGGAAAGGGTGAAGCGTTTCAGACGTACCGAATGGCCACCAACGAACCAAAAGGGTTACAACAAGGACAGACTCATAGGGTTCTTTAACGGCACATCGTCTTAATCGCCTCAGCACAATTTACATCGCTTTGAGAAAGTCGTGAGGGGCTGTGCAAAATCGACGAAATCAGACTTAAGCCCTCGACTGACAATCGTGCAAGCTGCTCACCAGGCCACGATACATTAGCAAATTCCACCGAGATTGCCTCAGACCAATTGACATAGGCGCTATCCATGCGAAATACAATCGCATACCATGCTTAGCGACTCTCCAAAAAGAGGGATAAAGTCGACGCATGCACTCGAGCACAGCTCGCAACTGGTTAATATGGATATCATCAATCAATTCTACCGGGATCTGCACGAGTATGCATAAATACGGTCTGGGAGCTTGTCTGCGCTTACGCATGATCCGGCATAAACTCCTGCACCACTTGACGATCAAGCATTGCTGGTATGCAAAACAGCCTCGTCAGTCATTGCATAAGTAGCCCACCCGAAGAAATTTTCGCAGTGCTGATTTGCTTTTTGATTAGCCGTAACTAATGACGTAGTTAAGACTGTGGGACTACCGACATAGTAAAACTCTCACTCGGCGCCAAAACAATGTAAAAACCGCTAGCGATTAAGTTTGAGATCGTAAATCGTTCTTAATTAGCTAAAAGCTAAATGTCACCAAGCCACCGGTGCTAACGCTGATTGTTTAGGTTTATAAACTGTAAAATAACGTGCACCTAAGCCCAAGTCATGTTTAAAACAAAAGAAGAAATACACTGGTTCCGAAGAAAAAATCATTCGACTCTGACAGCTCAATGATTTCGATGGTCTTCGATGACGGACTCATTCATGAAGGTTGGGAGGCTCAGCTCCTCCGCTGATACTAGCCGTATTTGATCGTTGATTTTTCTATTGTATTTTTGGCCTGAACCACTTAGTAAATTTCTCGAGTAACGAGAACTTAAACTTGGGACAAAGATGGAAACAAATGCTTCTTGGCCATCCATAGTTGCTTCACCGCGAGTGTATGTGGTCGGTGACTTCAAATTCGTGAATTCTCGGTGATTTTGATTCCGGCACGTCTCTCGGCGTAGCTGACGAAGCTTTACCATTACACGCTGAGATGAATGAGCAACTATTTGGAAACACACATTCAGACCTTATTTCTTACTACGAACAGTTTCCTGAGCATGTCACGGTTACTGCGGACCGCTCGGACCCATCTTCAATGAGACGAATCACTTGCAACGCAGTCTTAGGTCGCTATTTCCCTTTTAACAGATATAACATCAAATCCTTCGCTTAAAGGTGTCCGTATTCACTTTCTAAAGGTTGATCTCTTGACACTGCAACAAAAAGACATTTTTATCGTTGCTGAGCTAGGGAAAATGAGCTTGTATCAAAAAAATTATTCAGCCGCCGGCGACGGTTTATGCCAACTCATTGCCAACTTTGCCAGACAAGCTTGTGTTTTGCTCTTATGATGTCCGACCATTGCATTTACACTAAGGTGCGACTATTCAAAGCAGACGTGAGTTCACAACTGACCAATCTTCAATTTGAAGTCGATAGCCACTTCGACTATAAGCGAATCCATGCTTCATAAGGTTTTTGTCAGGCCATACCTGGAGTAAAATATTTGCTCTGAGACGAAGCGACAATCACATATCTTAGATTCAGGGCTCATGACCTTCAACATACCCGTCGCGAGTTGAAACGGTCTCGATCTGCTAATCATAGAACGTCTTTTCGAGACTTTTTATGTATACTGATATCATCGTTGAAATGACGGTGCACATATTATATGGCACTTCTCCATTTATGGCTTTAGCAAATCCGTAACGTCAGTATCATCGACTAATATATTAGAGCAACAATCCGTTTCTTTCTAATATTGGGTTGATCTTGTTAAAGAGGTGTTTCATTGACCTCGACTTTCAGAATGCGCATGAATAAAATATTACTTTGGGGGGTCCCATTTAACTAAGGGTCGTCAAATTATTATTAACCGGCCAGACGCGGTAGCTCGATCTTTCGGATCTATCGGTTGAAATAGATACAGATTGTAAACGTTGAATTACAAAGCCGCTTAGGCGAGAAAATATCACTAAGCTTGGCTGATATCGTTCATCGTTGAAGCTCACAAAAACCTTTACCTTGTGCAGCTCAACCGACCCTTGTGAATCGAATTTGCTTAGAACATTCCGTAAAGCGACCACCGGTCTCTCGATTCGCGAAGAAGGTCTGGATGCGAGCCACTTGAATACGGTAACCGTCGTTGGTTCCTGAAAGGATCATGACAGTTTAGATGACTGACTCTTGCTTATTGCTCAACAATTTGTATTCTCGTTGATGAGTTGTTGGATACCAGCTTGAACGCTGCAAAGACGCGTGACATTTGTCGTTTGGGTGCTTCTTACGTTGAAAAGCCCTCGATCTAACGATACTCATAATTCTGCTCATTCTTGTGCGCGACCTTCTAGCTTGACTGTTTGAAGGTGCGCAGTCTTGAATTATATTTTGATATTTGATCCCACTAATTTACTGGGACTCTAATTTTGATGTGATGTGTTGTACAACCTTACAAGAACCAAGAGTCAAACGCATTTAATTAATCTTAGTTCCCTGACATAATCGCTGATGACTGGCTGTAATAATCTTATATGGTGATATCAAAGTGTATTTCGATCCAACTATCTACTAAGATGCAAATCAAGAACCATCGGTTGGATTCAGAGATTCATCAAATGGTCGTTTGGGGGCGCCGTATCAGTATTTACAGACAGCTGCGAGGAGCGCTGCTCGATGTGTACATCATCGTAGGCTTCAGCTTGAGCACCGCAAACCATCATTCCTGACATCAAACGTGACCTGGCTCACGGTCGTTTTTCACAACGTAGGCTACAGTGATGCACTTTCACTACTGATCGCGACTTGCGATCAATCATCGCATTTAAATGCAAATACATTGTGACCAGATATTGTACTTGGCACATGCAAAATAAACCCACGACAAAGTTGATAAATGACATCATCGCTACAAGTTTATCGAATTGTCATACGAGCAGCATCTTTTTATCATTAATGATTAAACCAAAGATTACCGGCCTATTTATGAGTGCGATGGCCCTCGACCAGATCAAGACAATGATTGGTCGGCGAAGCACTACGCGATGCATCTCCCCTCACAAATGGCCGAGTTAATACGTTTGTTGCGCTTCTTCACAGGGGTCGTATAATACAATTAGCGTTTGCTGTCTCAAAGGGGTATGAAAGTCTTACTGAATGATGGTCAGTCGCGAAAAGTGATTGCATCTATCCAGACACGCTAATAATGCGCTTCCAGAGATTGATCGTACTGTTGCATGAGGCCAGGAACGTTAAAGTCAAACGTCAGGCTGTTGCCAGGTATTTATATTGCTTTATGTTACGGTATATAGTATAACATAGCTCAGAATTATTTCTAAGCTACACTTTTAATATAGCACCTATATTGAGAGTGTCGTCACCTCAATTTACATTAAAGCAAGCGTCAGGTCGTTTCTTCGAGTATCAAGATACTGAGGGTATCCATTCTTATGCATACGATCGCATAGTGTTTCCTCTCCTTCCAGACATCGACCCTTGTAATTAACACTGCCGTCAACCGCCCAACGACGTCTAGCAGCAGCGCCCCCAGATAGCTAAAGGCTCATAACTTTATATCAGCGAGAAACTTTCGGCAATCACGACGAGTTATTGTGAGTTTGTCGGCTAAAACAAGCGGTGATTTCAGCTGTCGCGTCGTACTCGATTGATGCTATAATCCTTGCCGTCGATGCTGAGGTTGGAATCGTTACGCTTTTGAACGTGGTTCGTTCATGTACTAGTTGCGTATTTGCGAACAGTAAACATATCGGAGCAATTCATGAGGATTCCCTGCTTGGCGTACCGACACGAATTCTGAACACACTTGCCAGCGGTTGCATCACTAAAAGTAGACTAGTTGAAGAGTGGATTTAGCGGGCTACTGTAAATACAGAATCAAATCAGAAGGGTCGACACTAGATTAACTATTCATTACAGAATTCTCTAATGATATACATGGCTGCAGCTATTTAACAAAAATGTGGGACAGAACGAGGCTTCGTTGGGAGTTTAATAGCGCTGTCATCGACGGCGCTTCAATACTTCGGTTAATCTCAGCAAAAACTCGCTTGAAACAACATGACCAATCAAAGGTTTTGGCAAACCCTGAGTGGACCGCAAACCTGATCATCAAGTCCAACCTGGTAAGATCTAAGCGATCCCACAGATCGGATTACTTATTTGACATTCGACGGCACGAGATATTAAAACTCGAATAAGTGTATACTTTTCAATAGAAAATTGCTATTTTTTATATTGTCTGTTTGTTGTTAAAGGTGAACTCTGTCGTTTTCTTACTTTAGCGATCGTGTAAACATCAAGTGCTATATTAATTGTGAAACATGGATCATTATGGACGGTTTAGAACCATGTTGCAATCAAATGAAAGATGACTGAGTTTTTTTTGCTGGTATTTATTGCAGAACTTGTTCATTTCAAATTCTCTAAGTAATGTGGAGCAAATGAGATTTAAGACTGCAAACTGGAATATCAGCCGTTGTATGTATTTCTCTTTTTGATCAGGTAGCTTCTTGAGGAAACTGAAATATCAGCAACAAAAATGATCGCTGATTGCTTTCGGTTTGTCGTGTTTTGACGCTAGTAAAATACCCTCTCTCCTTATTTTAAACCTACCAAGATGAGAAATTGCGTTGATTCCACACATGGATGACGTCTGTAATGTACAGAAAATGATAATTCATGTTCTGAATTGTTCAAACGCGAGTCGACAAAATCTACTCAATGCAGGACGCAATGCAGCTATGTAGTCCATCTTCCAGGATTTGAACAGATGGAAGTGTCAGCTTATCAGTCACTGAATGAGAAGTCATTTGACATGCGAAGTTTGTGTCGATCAAATTGGGCGACGGAAGCCAAAACAAAAAAAATGTTTCGAGAGCAGTGGTGCAGCGAGGCTGCCGTAGCTATGCGCTTTGAGGAAGCGTAAGTTAGGTCACTGACCTTTCCCTCAATAATTAGAACAAGTACGAGTTTAGCGGATCGCAATCCGCTTACTCCAAGAGTAATAAATTCCTTATATCAAGCCAATTAACTCTTCCGTTTAAATCAAAAGCTGACTTTATTTATTTGAGTCTGCGGCAAAGCCGCCTAATACTAAATGTTTGGATTTTCCTATATATAGTAGAATCTAAATACGTGCATAACTACTGACTACCTAGCCAGATACCGTATTCTTATTTGAGTGCAGTCACACCATGCCCAACTCGTATGTCACACACCCCTGTTACGAGGGTAAGTGTAACTCCGTTACACTCTCCCCCATTAAGATTGAGAACATTTACAATTCCAATCGACTATTGCCTTAACGAGGCTTGCGTGTCCGCTAGACACTGCAACTTGGTTTGCTGGAACAAAACGACTACCGTGCTCTATGAGCCCTGTGTCAACGACACTGAAGTCACCGAGTCTCGCTGGTTCTGACAGCGAACACGGGCATAGCCCAACTTCGTCTCCCAGCACGCGGTGCAATGTCGGACAGTGCGTCCACGGCATCGAGGGATGTATATCCTAGGCTTGATGAGCACGAGCGTCGCGCTTCACACACGCTATCAGTGACGAGTGTCCTCGTTGAGGATGTGGAGGTGGTCGACTACGAGTCTGACACTTCTTTTCCCGCATGGGATGAGGAGAAAGGCGAGCCGACAAGCGGCGTGATACGAGCCCTGCTCGCGTCTTGCGGACCCTATGTCCGTTCCTGACTTCTCGTCACCTGAGGGACGTATTTTAATCACCAATGACCTCGACGGGTCACAGACGCGGCAGCTGAAAGTTGCCCGTAAGGCGGCCCTGATGCGCGCCCATCCAAGGACAGACATTGACCCACGTGTGGAATATGGCTTCCGCCCATCGGATCCTGCTGTTGAAGCGAAGGAAGCGGTAACTCAATCGTCACGCGTCCACATCATCGGCCCCCTGCCATAACGGGAGATGAGCTTGCCAAACGGAAAGCTCTTCGAGCTCGTTTCTTGGTTCCACAAGAAGTTCCGTTGGTGGCTTATGACACTCGTCTGAGTGCTCAACGAGGTAGCTCTCGTGTACCCGCAATGTGAACAAAATACGTGTAGTGCTCGCCCCTGGCGAAAGCGCTACAGATGACGAAGCGCTCTTTGAGCGATGG